TCGAACTTATACCCCAAAGCTCTGATTGGACGGCTCGTTATTCCCTGTTGCCTGTACCTATTGCCTGTGTCTATTGTGTTTCCAGATATACGGTTTACGACATCGCGACTAGCCCCATTGGTCGGCGGCCTGGCGCAACCGATAGCACACACACAAGCACAAGCTCGCGTACGTGTGACGCTGGTAGCAGAAGTTCTGCGAAAGAGTTGCACGTACACGAGCTTGTGCTTGTGTGTGTGCTACCGGTTGCGCCAGACCGCCGACCGATGACGCTAGTCGCGGTGTCGTAAACCGTAAAGCGGAGAGCACAGACTCTTGCATAACGCATAACACATGAGGCATAAGAAATTGAACCAACCAGAGTTCTCTATTACATGGAAGGGAAAGAAACGGAGAACTTCGATTGGTACATATTCTTATGCATTACGTGTTATGCGTTATGCAAGAGTCTGTGCTCCCCGCTTAAGAGTGAATCACACGGTGCGTCATAAGGCTGCGGAATACGGAATGCGTCATTGAAGCAACCAATCAGAGCTATTCCGCACTTTTCTAACACGCAAGTTTTGTGTGCTATGTTCACATGATGCGTCAAAGATGCATCCAGGATGAATAAATTTAGAAATTTCTAACTTTATGTTAATAATTTGCTTATTAAAATAAAATATAATTTCTCAAATTGTAAAAACAATTATTACTGTTGTGGTATTTAATATTTTACAATTAATATTTACAATCTCAAAACAATGTTTTGATCAGCTGTAAAGAATTTACTATCATTTTTCCGCAGCGTGTGAACAGGGCACGCCGAAATCGCACGTAATGCGTCATGCGTCATTGTTCTTGATGTCTTGATCTTGAGTATACTTGCGCAAATTGGATGCAATTAAGCTATCATACAGTGAGTAATTTTTTATCATCATGAATAATAAAATAATAATGATAATTGAAACTATTAAGCACTTAGTAAAAATATTCGTGAAAACTCCAATGCACTATTGATGATGATGACGTATTCTCTATTCCGGATTATTCCGGATCATCTAAGTGCGGAATAGCGCTGATTGGTTGCTTCAATGACGCATTCCGTATTCCGCAGCCCTATGACGCACCGTGTGATTTCACCCTAAGGGTGCCGTCACATGCGGCGTAACTTGCGTAAGCGTAACTTGCGCCGACCAATCATATCATTTCAACATCTTGAACATCAGTTTCTGTCTAGTCATTTTATGCTTTTTACGCTATTTTGTTGTTACGCCGAAACATGATAGAACCACTATGCGTCGAATCTAATTTCTGGCTCATTTTAGCTTATTCTGTCTGAA